CCACGTGGGACATCCCTCTGTGGCCTGCAGGATCTGAGCCACGTGGGACGTCCCTCTGTGGCCTGCAGGATCTGAGCCACGTGGGACATCCCTCTGTGGCCTGCAGGATCTGAGCCACGTGGGACATCCCTCTGTGGCCTGCACGATCTGAGCCACGTGGGACATCCCTCTGTGACCTGCAGGATCTGAGCCACGTGGGACGTCCCTCTGTGGCCTGCAGGATCTGAGCCACGTGGGACGTCCCTCTGGCCTGCAGGATCTGAGCCACGTGGGACGTCCCTCTGTGGCCTGCGGGATCTGAGCCACGTGGGACGTCCCTCTGTGGCCTGTGGGATCTGAGCCACGTGGGACGTCCCTCTGTGGCCTGCGGGATCTGAGCCACGTGGGACGTCCCTCTGTGGCCTGCAGGATCTGAGCCACGTGGGACGTCCCTCTGTGGCCTGCAGAATCTGAGTTACATGGGTCACTCTGACACAGACATGGCCTCAATTTTCTGACACTGAACAAGGAAGATTAGGGTGGAACCCTTCACAGCTGTAGCACCATCTCAGGAGACTGAGTATTTATTATTCACTCCCACATGTTCTGCCTCTGTCTATACAGCCCGGCCTCACTGGGTTGTATGACCTGCTGCCAGTTCCCAGATCCCACAAGAACTCGGTCTGTTTCTTGCTTGGCCAACGACTCTGCTTCCTCCAGTGCGCAGCTTCCTTTGCTCCCCCAGTCAGAAAAGTCTAACTTTATACTAATGTCCTTGGCTGTTGGGGTCCAGCAAAAGAAACTTTTATGCCTCTGTGCACTTGGAATCTCATCTCTCAGAAAACAAACACCTCTTCCCAATGGCTCCCACAGGCTCAGGCACCTAACACTGTGGGCTGAACTGATATTTTGGGCTCTGCGTTTGCAAGAAACAATATCTCTTGGTAACCCCACTGTGATTATGGAAAAATTTTGAATATCTATAAGAGATGAAACAATTGTACAATGGATCCATGAGTCCCTTTATTCTGCATGAGAAATTACCATAATTTTCCAGTCATGTTCATCTATTTTCTTTTTTTATTGGAGTGCTTCTAGAAAAACCAAGCTATTAAATCATTTTGCCCTAAATATTTCAGTGCACATTTATGACCATTTTTCTAACCATTCTGCCACTATTTGAACTAACAGAATTACTAATTACTTTCTGCAGTCGCACACCAGGACAGTGCCATAGTTCTGGTGCTGTCTCGATGCTTTCTTGAGCTTGAATCAGGATGCAAAGTCCTCATATTGTTTATGACTATGAAGCACTTCAGTCTTCGGTGACTACAGCTGCCCTTCCTCCACTTGGCCTCCAGAACATTAATTTATTGGAGAAGTTAACCAGTTACCCTGTAGAATGGCCAAAGTTGTCGATTTCCTGTCACCCAACTTGTCCCTATGTCTGCTCTAATTCCCATTGAGCTGAAAGTGACACTCAGGGTCTAGTTTAAGGCCAGTTTCAGTCAGTTCTCTCCTCTCCCCACCTTCCCCTCTCTCCCTCTGCCCCCCTCCCTCACCCTCTCCCCTTCTCTCCCTCTCTCCCTCTTTCCCTAATGGTTTTAGCCTATGTTGATTGTAGCTTAGGCCCATTACTTGACTAGCTGTTGCCAAGAAATATTTTTTTAAAGTTTCCTAATTCCATCATTCCTCTTGATTACCTTACATTTGTCTATAAAGCAAAAAGACATTTGATGCTTAAGGTTACTGTAGGGACTTGATCAGTTCAGTGAGTCAGCCTACTGTAAAAGCCAGCGACACTCATGCTTTCTACACCACTGACAATAATAAACCCAGGACAAGAAATCCAGTGAGGTAGAAGCTTGTTCAGCCTCACCATGGACCCTGGCCCATGTCCTGATTTAGCTAAGATGGTTTTGGTGGACAACGGCCTTCTTCTCACTCATTAGCCCTCATTTTTCCACGGCCTTGGCACAGAGTTAGAGACCAGTGTGGACATGTGATTGTGCCTGGATACTTGACTTCGTGATGCTCTTTAAATTTACAGGGAAACACAGCTGGGCAGCACCCCCCCTCCCCCCCAGCCACAAGCCTGAGTGCATATCGGTCCGTCCCTTAAGACTGCCAGGAAACAGACCAAATGCGGAGGCATGCTTACGCCAATTAACTTTAAGATATGTTAGATGCTGTGAATTAGAGTCCAGTTATATTGGGCAACTTAAATGAGTTTATGTTGCTATTTTAAAACAGTAATTATCTGTGCCCAGTTATGTAGCTTTCCCCACCTCTTGGTTTTGTCATCAATCTAATGAGCAGGATGGGTTTTCCTGGCCTTAGCGAGGGTGGGTGAGAATTCAGTATCAATACAGAATGCATGCCACTCAAGTTGTGCTGAAGGTGCAGCTCATGTGACCAGACGGCGGCCTCCTCTCATTTCTCCTTCCCTGCCTTGGCTTAGCAGAGAGGCTTCTAACCAAGTCTCTCAAGAGACACGGCACAGGCTTTCCACTGCTGTGTGGGCCCCATCCCATGACCTCCCTGGACCGGCCTGTTTCCCCGAATTCATGGAGCCTCTGAAATACTGGCTCACACCTCTCTGGAGACCTGCAGACAGCAGGATCCTGTGCACACAGCACTTCAGTGTGGGCCGTGCGCACAGCCATCCCTCTGCAGGTTCTGTGTAGGTCAGAGCAGTGTAGAAGGAGGTACAGGATGACAGCCCCGAGCAAGACAGGTAAGTGAAACCAGATACAAGTTGGGGCTCTGAGAGGGACGTCCGTGGTGTTGGATCCTGTAACACTGAGACTGGCTTTTGAAGTGCAGGCTGATCTGATCCCTGTGTATTCACAAATACCCACTTTGTCCCTATTCTAGTAACTTTCCTTTAGAGGAGGGTTTTCATGCCCCACCTCACCCCGCTTCCTGGCAAGGGGCTTTGCAAGTTAAGATGTGAGGGACTTAAACACATAGACACATGGAACTTGTTTGCTTTTCCTTGAGTTCCATTCAGGTACCTGGAATACACAATGGGGTCACACATACATAATTTTTTTTTTTTTTTT